GAGGTTGGTTAATGGACACAAAACTACAAAGCTAGATAAGGAAGATAAGTGCCAGTGGTATACAGTAGTGCTAGAAACCTATAATTAATAACTTATTGTATGTTCACAAATGGTTAGAAGAGAGGAACTCAAATATTCTTATAACAAAGGTGATAATTTTTTGCAGTGATGAATTTGCTAACTACCCTTATTTGATCATTACACATTATATACATGTATTAAGATATAACTGTGTCCCATAAATATGTACAATCAATTCATTTCAATTAAAAAATAAATTCAAAAAAAGAATTACATGAGAAGTTTGTTTGAAAGGCAGATTCCCAGGCCCAGCCATAAAAAGTTCTGATTCAGTAGGTTGGAGTGGGATCTGGGGATATGCATTATTACCAGGCAGCACATGTGATTTAGGACTGATGGCTCTTAGACTCTCCTGGTTGCTTTGTAAAAACTAAACTTGGTCACTTCAAAAGCTGGCAACCAATCAAATTAGAGACCTGACTGATAAAAATACAAACAAAATAGAATATGTTTTTTGCCACCTCTTGCATGTTATTTTGTTACACTCTTGAATTTTTCACCTTGGAATTTTTGACCTATTTGTTAAAGAACCATAACTTGACCTGGAATTACAGAGCTATCAGAAGCAACAATATATACATTATAGACCTGACTTCTCCAGCAATTTGCCATTACTTAGAGCAAATGCCTTCAGGAGGCTACCTGTGTCTGCCTGAAAGAAGGAAGGACGGACAGATCAGGAAGGAGGTGATTTGCAAGTCATCCTTTTCTTTAAAAACTTCCTCTCAAAATTTCCTTTCAAGATTTGAAGATTAAGAACCTTTCTTCAAGAGGAAGAAATTGCTGGAGCCCTAAAAACCCACAAAATTCATTGGTACTGTGCAATCGCTTTAAACTTTTTTGATCAAGACCCACACTAAAAATACATTTCACATCACAACCCAGCACACAAACAGAGAAATACACATATAAGTGTGTATCGTGTGTGTTTATGTGAACACATATGGAAAATGGAAACAACCATTTTATGAAACATTACTTACCTTCACTATGTGAAACCCATTGATATTTTCTATATCCCATTCCTTGCTTTTCCCTTCCCTTCTCCTTTTCCTTTCTCCTTCTTTTCCTCTCTCTCTTTTCCTTTATGAGAGTCAAGACTTTACATGGTTTTGCCCTGCTGTTTAAAAAATGCTGGGGTAGGGGCCGGCCCAGTGGCGCACTGGATAGTGCGCCGCTTGGGAAGCGCGGCGGCGCTCCCGCCCGAGGGTTAGGATCCCACATACAGACCGGTTCCCGCTCACTGGCTGAGCGAGGCGCGGGAG